TGTCTGCTTTCTGTTAGGTTTGGCCTGTCTCAGGTGAAGTTGAGGAAGCAGCAGGCAGAGCTGCCTTTCTCAGATGGACCACTAGTCACACGTGGCTATTTAGATGTAAATTAAGTCAGATGAAAAATCCATGTCCTCGGCTGCAGTAACACGTTTCAGGTGCTCAGTAGCCCCAAGCGCAGAACATGTCCATCCCCACGGCAAGTTGTGTCGGCTGCACCCTGCTGGAGAGCACATGGCTCTACTCTCCTCTCCCTGCGGCCGACCTGCTACCTGTGCACCCCTCAGCTGTCTGCTCAGGGCCTGCTTAGTGAACCCAGACCCGCACAAGCCAGCTTTGCTCTGGGAGCTCACTGCCTTGGGTGAGGCAGATGGGAAGAGGCATCAGGGGTTTGGAAGCCTGACTAACTCGATCTTTTTTTTTTTTAAGGAATCTATATTCATTAAAATTAGAAAATGCACACCAGCAAAAACAATATAAAAATCACAATCTTGTCATCTAAAATGCAGTTGACTTTTTCCTGTTTATTTTTTTAATTTATAGGATGAGCACGTTCTTATAAAGAACAAACAAGCCTCAAGCAGTCTAGAAGTATCTGTAGTAGAAAGTGGAGTGTTCTCACGCCGGCCCATCCTGCTCTCCTCGGTGGGAAACGCCATGGGCATTGGCATGTGGCCTTTTAGACCTTTGTATGTATTTGGTGCATATATGGGCCAGACATTCATATGGAGGGGGGGCCATGTCTTTATTTATTTGTCTCTGCACCAGCCGTCTGTCATGGGGCTCTTTCCTTATCAGCGCACACACATCTTCCTCGTTCTTAATGAGTGGACATGTCTCACATGGGACCATGTCTTACGGCCAGAGGTCTTGCAGTGAGCATGCACTGTGGATTCCTGTGTGTGTTTCATGGTCTCCCATCAGAGGGTCCCGGAAGTTATAAATTATCAGCTTACCCCAGAGTAGGCCAGGGCCTGGTCTTTGTGCAGTCAAATTTGTCATATTTCTGCCATGTGCATCTGTCATTTGCTTTTTAATTTGTTTACACTCAGCATGTTTTTGGATAAAGTTCTTCAGTCTTTGTGTTGTGATTGTCATTTTATATTGGAGTCTGGAAAAGCCTCCTCCAAGCCCAAAATAGTGGATGGTTTCCTGTGGTTTTTAGCTTCTGTTTGATTTTGTTCACCTGAAAAATTCAACTCTGCATCTGTATTATATTTTCAAGTGTAGAACAAGGCAGGAGTCTCACACCACGTTCTTCAGTTTCCTGCATCAGGGTTTGGTTTAGCTACAGAGAACAGAAGTAATGGAACATTGGTGGTGCAGTCTAGATGATGGGCTTATCCTTTTTTCTTGCCTACCTTCCTTGCTCCACACTGGGGGCCTTTCTCAGGGTCATGTGGGCCTCTCTTCCCTTAAGAAACCTTCTGAGAAAGTATGTTGCCAGCCCCCGCCAGGGCTCACTGGCCACCTGAGGTTGGAGGGGCCCCTCAGCATCCTAGTGGACAGCCAGCTTCTGCCACATGAGGCCGTGTCCCAGGGCCTCCCATTAAATAATCGTAGTTTCCTGTTGGTTTTGAGGTGCCACCTCTGTGATCTGTTGTAGAGGAGATTTTTCTGTGACGGTCACAGCATAGAAATTATCATGGAAGATTTGGAGACTGACTCTGGTGGGCTGACATTGAGTTCTATGAGGTAGCAGCTAACTGTGGAGAAGGAGACCAGTGTGGTTTTATGTAGATCTGCTGTCAGCTGTGAAATGCCTTTGAGGTTTTGATATGTGAGAAGAGTGAGCTTCCTTGTGTTTGTTTCTGAGCAGTAATGATCATGTAGACATAAATGATTATGGACATAACTATGAACTGCTTTGGAGACTTGAACATGTGGGTGTATTCAGGATTGGAAGTCATAGACTCATAAAATGACCTATGTTGTAGCTGATGCCTGCAGTTGGGCATGTGGTTGATAGCGCTTAATTGTGAAAGTATGTTGTCGGAAACATAAAATGCAGCTTCCTAAAATGATGAGAATTACATGTAACATTAGTGTTGAGTAAAATAATGCAAACTGTTTAGCACTGTTTGGGATGTGAAGTTGGAATATATTTTATGGGGAATGTAGATCTTAATTGACAGGCTCATAAGTGAAATATTTAGTTAACCAAAACGTGCTTTGATTGATCCATTCATGGTGGTCAGATGCTGTCCATGAGCAAGCACTGTTCTGGTGCTGGGATCACGCAGTGAGCTGTGAGCCCCGCACCGTGCTCGGGAAGGGTGTGGGGGGCAGGGGTGCTGCTTCCCCTGTCCGGTGTGGGTTCTGTTGAACCTACTCTGATTCCGCCGTTCTTCCCAGGGTGGGCAGCCGTCCCCTCCCTGCTCGAGTCTCCTGCCCCTCACCCAGTCCTTGGTGCTTCCTTACTTATTGGAGGGTTCCCTGAGGAGCCCACTGAGCAGGAGCAGGCAGCTGAGGGGGCTCTTGGGGTTCGCCCAGATGTCACGATGGTTAGACCTTCCTGTGTCTTTCTGGGCCGATGGTGCCCTCACGCCCCAGAGCGCCCTGGTCTTGGGGCAGCTCCTGGAGTCATGCGGTGCCTCGCTGAGCTTTGTTCGCCTCGAGGAAGGGCCAGCAGGGGGACTTCCTGTCCAGCCAGTCGGCCGGGAGTGCCCCTTCTAGGCAAAGCAAGAATACACTTTCTATCTAATACTTGTTACGGCAGGTCACTTTTAGGCCCGATTTAATGCACATTTCAGACAGGTGTGTTGTGAGCACATCTTACTGGCGGAACAGGACACTTGAAGTCAGGAGGCCTGTGTGTTCCGCTTGGCACCACTTCCTGCTCTGGGAGTGTGGGCGTGCCTCGACCTCGCTGTTCATCTCTCCTGAAATACGGGCAGTGGAGAAGTGCCCGGCAGCCCCTCCTTGTGTCCCAAGCCGGTCAGAAGACATCGGATAAAACTGACACTGTCCACTGGTGGGGTTGTGTCTGCAGACGGGCAGCAAGCCCTCCCTTCTTGCTCCTTCCTTTCCTGGTGTGTTGAAGGTGACTGGGCTCAGGAGTCCTGCCTGGGAGGCTGGGGGGGGGGGGGGCAGCTTAAAAGAAAGTTGATGGTACATTCTGTTCTGCAGGTCACTGCTGACCTGCAGTGACAGTTGGGCGAATTGGTATGCCCTGTTTACAAGGTGTTTTAATGTATTAAATCTGTGGGATGTGGATAGAGTTTCAGCATGCTAGCTCTGGTATTCTTTGATGACTTTGGGCCGATTGTTTAATTAATTAGGCTTCTATCTTTGTTATTTTGCTTCTAAACTTTATACTTCTGTTACCAGGACAGTACTGAGAGTTGTAGGAGAGCATGCGTTCCTTGTGCTTCCCATGAGCCAGCTTCTCACCTAAGGTGATGGCTGTTCAACGTCACAGACTCTTCTCCGGAGGAGCCCCTTCTGCCTTCCAGACAGTTTTCCACCGTGTCAGTGACTGACACAGGAGACCCCTAAGACGTCCTTGCTAACAGGGAGGGTCGCCTGTGGCTCTTCCCTGGTGTGGGCACTAATCCGCTAACCTGATGTACTGAGTCCTGCTAATAATGTGGCCAATCGGTGGCAAATTTTAGGTAACGTCTCAAACTTAAACAGGCCTGCTGAGCTGCCGGCAGGGCTGTGGTTCCATGCTTTATGGTGTCGTTGGTGCTTACTGACTGTTGAAGTGATGGAAGCTTTACTCCCCAAACCTTGGAGTTTGATAGATATTTGGAAAAATTGCTGCATTTTAATGTTGTATGACTTAGAACCTTTTTGGATTTATAGAAATTGGACTCGTGGCTGGCTGAATCACCATCATGGTTGAGTGAGATTTTCTTTTCTGGATTTTCTAAAAAATTAAACACGGTAAACTTAATTTTAAGTTCCAGTGATAGCCTGATTGTATTGCACGTGTACCAAGAACAAGGGTGTTGAGGATTGATTTCCTCCTAGAGTCCTGTGTGTGCTTTCAGTGGCCTCCAGGCGCCTTCAGACCTGCTGCACAGTGTTAGGAATGGTCGCTTCATGTGATTTTTGGGGGTGCAGGCAGCACTTCAGGTGAGACAGAGAAGGGCCGATAGAATATGTGAGGTGATACGATGCCCCTTGCCTTTGTCACTGGACACTAATCGGTCCTGTTGAGAAGTCTTCCCTTCTGGTATGTGGACTATTTTGCTGGCTATTGAGCTAACATTATGTTGTTATTGAGCAAATTTTATTTTGTCTTTGTTTTATTAATCAAACTTTAGAGTGGAAGCAGGTGAATTTGATTTGTTTTAATTCCCAGGATTAGATTACTTGGCCCCCTAGAATTCATCGTTCAGACTGACCAAGGATGACGGTCTTTCCTTCCCCCAGAAGGAGTCTTTGGTGTAGGTCCTTGGCCCTGAAAGTGACCTCCCCAAGCCCTGGCCCACCCCAGGATGGGCTTTTTCGCCCAGGGTGGGCAGAAGGTCCGAGAGGCGGCTCCTGAGGCAGAGGTGTGAGCGAGGCGGTGCTCAGAGCTCCCTCTTCTGCCGGGAACGCTACAGTTGGATCTCTGTTAGGAACAGAGGGCCGGACACATTGCGCCCTATGCACATTGGCTCGGGGACCTCCTGGGTGGCTGGCACCTTCAGGGGAGGACAGCTGAGTGGTGGCCCCGGGGACGCTTTGCGGCCTGCAGGGCCTCCCCGGCTGTGGGGGCCGCCGTGGGACTGGGAGGCCCTGCGTGAGTCCCACTCTGGCCTCCAGGGATGGGCTTCCCTCGGCCTCCTAGCGCCGGCCCCACAGTGACTGTCGTGGACGCGGCCTTCAGTGCCCAGAGGAAGTGTCCGACCTCGTGCTGGTGGGATGGGCCCGCAGTCTGGGCCCCGGCCGCTGCCGCGATGTCTGCCACAGGGCTTCCATTTTACCTGGTGCTCGCGGAGGAGAGAAGAGTGCAGCGTGGGCTCGACTGTAGCGGTAACTCGAGTGTGTTTTCTCTTTTGTCCACCAGACTTCATGAGGAAATCATTGACTTTTATAACTTCATGTCCCCTTGTCCTGAAGAAGCAGCCATGCGACGGGAGGTGGTGAAGCGGATCGAAACTGTGGTTAAAGACCTTTGGCCAGCGGCTGACGTGGGTTCACTCTTTACTTGTGTCACACCAGGGACGGCAAGCGCCCGGGGTCATAGTGGGCCCCCCCCACCCCAACACACACCGGGCCTGGCCCTTGTGGCTCCCAGGCAGGGCTTCCGCAGGCATGGCCCCGGGGAGGGCGGCGGGGGGGGGTTGGCCCCTGGGACTTGGTGAGACCTGCATGTTCCCAGGCCCTGCCCCGCACCTTCCCGAGCAGCGCCCCTGGGGTAGGGCCTGTACCCCGTGCTTCACATGCCCGCCGGGTGAGGGTGGGGACCGTGGGCCGAAGGAAGTTTGTTTCTGGAGTAGTGTGGTTATCGTTCTTTTCAACTCGCCTTGAGGTTAGAAATTCTACCCCTCGCCCTCATTACACAACACGCAGCATATGTTCCTTTTTGTGGAACTGGAAAGAATTTCCTCACCTAGCACTTGACTGTGCACGAATGTGTGTTCCTTGAGATGGGGGCCATGGGCACTTGGGGTGCTTGGCATAGGCAGTGACATACGTCCTGTGACCAAGTTGATGACGGCCCAGGGCGCTTATCCTCATCAGTCAGCCTCCCCCTACTGATGATGGTGACTGGAGACCACCCAGTGATGGATGGATGAGCTGGGCTGGGGAAGGCATGAGTGCTCCCAGGGGACAGGGGCAGCCCCTCCATTCCCTTCTTCTTCTGTGATGACATTCCACATTTTTGTCTTTAAACGTGAGTGCCCTGGGGCAAAGCCCTACCTCTGAGCCTTGGCTACAGATTTGAAAATTGTTGTCAGCTTTGAGCAGTTGTGGGAAAGGCCAATAATTGTCTCATCTCTTAATTGGAGTTGTTAACCATTCCTTTTTGGGGTAGGTCTTTAAGGTAAAGGTGAAGAGGATTTTGTTTGATGGTGCTTTGCTGCACCCCTGGCCCCCGCCCTGTGCCCCAACTTGCAGGGCAGGTCTGTTTTCCCCCAGAGTGGGAGTGAGGCCTTTTAGTGAGCAGCGGGGGAAGGCGGACTGTTTGAATTGTCCCTTGTTGTGAGACAGCCGCTCTTCTCTTCCAGGTACAGATCTTTGGCAGCTTTAGTACAGGCCTTTATCTCCCAACCAGGTGAGTACCAGATCTGAACCGCTCCGGTTAGTGCTGATGCATGTTTAGTTGGGGTGGGCCGTGTCTGCATGCGCGTTAAAGGCTAAATGTAGAATTCTCAGGCTACAAGTGTAAGCTAAAGGAAAAGACTGTGGAGTACAGAGGGAAAATTGCAGGAAATAAAATTTAATCTAGTGTTATGATAATTGATTGTGTTTTTCCTCTTGCACTTTATTTGGTATGTTACAAAAATGCTGAACACCAGAGACATAAAGACCAGTGGGAGGGTCATGGGAAGAAAATGCGGTAGAAAATATCTGAAAGTTTTGGATATGTTTTTGAAAATTGATCTTCTATTTCAATGAAGATTCAAGCAAAATTCTATTTAAACAGTATTTTATAAGTATTTTGTATTTTATAATTGAAAAATGTCCAATAAGTTTGCATCGTAAAATTGTTCTCCAGTGTTTCCTTGTCAGGAACTATCTCGATACCCAAATCAATTTTATGTGCATTGTTTCCTTAAGAACTTACTCTCTCCTAACCCACTGTTAACATTTGGACTGTGAAGAGGCTGTGCTCTCAGAATTTGGGGTTGGCATTGGCAGGGCCAGGAGGGAATTGACCAGATTCCAGGTGCTGGGAAGCCCCGGTCAGCAAGAGGGAGGCAGTGTAGACGGCACAGAAGGAAGAGCCGGGAAGCCTCAGGGGGGCCAGCATTTTCATTTCAACCTCTTCAATTACTGGGGATGCTGTAACACAACATCCTTGTGTTACGATAGTTCATAAAGTGCATCTTCCCTCCCTCAGAGGGTTCGGCTTCAAGCGGGTGTGTGTGTGTGTGGCCCTGGAAGGAGATGGGAGTGTGCACGCCGTGGTACTAGTCTGCCCCAGATGTGTGTGTTCCTGGAGAGTGATGTGAACCAGGGCTTCACGCTCACTTGTTCTTCTGTCCAGTGACATCGACTTAGTGGTCTTTGGAAAGTGGGAGCGTCCTCCTCTGCAGCTGTTGGAGCAAGCTCTGCGGAAGCACAATGTGGCCGAGCCGTGCTCCATCAAAGTCCTTGACAAAGCTACAGTAAGTGGGGGGCCCTGCGGAGGCTTTCTCACACTCGGCAGCAGTTGTGAGTCACCTGTGGCTTTAGCTTAGGCTGTTGGCAGGGGTTACAACTTACACTTTGGAAGACTCCGCTCCTTCTGATATAAATGTACTTGTGTTTATTTAGAATATTAGAATTACCAGCTGAGAACCTATTTCATGACGATCCGAACGACTGCAGGTTGTGAGAGCATCATGCTGCACTTGGCACTAAAATAAGATCAGTGAGCTTTCGTTAGGACGTAAGAAAAGGACGCATTCAGGTGCTGCCCGTTCAGGTGCACACAGTTGATGATGAGAGCATGGTATCTGCACAGAAAGGGATTACCATTTGCCAATTATATTTAAGAAACAAAACTCGCCTATTCCTTTCATTGTTCAAAATTTTATCCATATAAAGACCTTTGATCATGGGGAGAAGTTGGAAGATGAGGCTGCTTTGTTGTGTGCTCATCAAGGTTTATCTGAGTCCAAGATTAGAGACGGTTCAGGAACTGAAGTCACTTGCCCGCTGTATGGTCGTGATTAGAGCCCCCGAGCCCTTCCCTCTTGGGGCTCGGCCATTTGTCCCGTGGTGTTGGCTCCTCGATGAGAACGAGGCAGTGGCGGTCTCTGGCCAGGTATCCTGGTTTAGATGTAGAGAGGAGCTGGAGAGGCCAGGCCTGGTTGTCCTGGGCTCCAGAGCATTTTGGCGGACAGACCGTGTCGGGTAGTAACTGCTTTCACACACGGTCTCCTCTGCTGCTAGGGGTCCAGCATAGACTTAAGGGGAACTGAGCCCCACTGGTCTTCTGCTGCCCCTTTCTGTCATTGCGAGCTGGTGCCGGGCAGCCCCACCATCATCTCATCCGGGGCCCCGGGGCCCAGCGGGAGGGCTGTGTTTAAGAAGAAAGCTTGTGTATATTGAACAACCACTGAAAAATAAGTATTGTGATGCTGTTACTAATCTCTAGGATCTGGGGTTCAACCTGTGGGTGTATTGGAAAGTGTGTGTGTGTGTGTGTGTGTGTGTGTGTGTGTGTGTGTGTGTGGCAGGCGGGCACCAGGAGTGGTTTTGGGAAAGCATTCGTGAGTGTAGAGAGGAAGGTGCTCCATAGCTGTGCCCAGTGGTGATGGGGAGCAGGAATTCTTCGCAAGGGAGGTAGTATATTGTAGAGATATCGGCTTCTTCTGAAACAGTTTGTGGTGAGTTCTTTGGGAAAGCCTTTAGTTTTCTGCCTTCCTGGACCACACCTGCTGTGGCTCACTGTGCCTGGCGGTCCTGGCAGTTTTGATGATCTCCAGGAGTCGCCGTCACCACCAGCTGCCCATCCCTGTGTCCTTGGCAGTTTGCGGCCAGATTAGGTGTGCACCCCGGATTCTGTGAGGTGTCCTAAACCTTTCATTAGACCTCATTTGTTTTGGTTAGGGAACATCCTTTTCCATTTCTTAGAGGCTGAAGGAAACAATTGCCTTTTGTTGCTGGAAGAACACAATTTTGTGTGGGGGTTGGGGAGGAGTGTGGTCTGTATGGCTGCTGGGGCAGCTTTGATGAGGCTGGTTTTGAGCACCTTGTGATGGTGAGTCTTTTTGATGAGAATATTTCCAAAATAGCTTTTTATTCTCTGGTTTTACAGGGAAGTGGTTTTTTGGTTTTGTTTTGTTTTTTAGTTAAATTGTCTTAGTGAAAACCCAAAGTAGAATTGTTTGGAGAAACAACATCAGCACAAAATAGAATTGAAAAACTGGCTTTGAAGTTACTCTGAATGTTTTCAGAAATTCTTGCAAATGTAATTTGGGGACCTGGAGCTCCTCTGCATCATCAGGCACCTCCGGGGGGACAGGGACTTAGTCAACTTCTCCTGTAGCCCGGGCCTTCCCGAAAGTAGTGGCTGAGGCTGAGTCAGGCCAGGAGGGCTGGGCGGAGGTGACCACTGGCCGTTTTCGGGGCGGGGGGCAGGGGGGCCTGCGTTCCAGGGACTAATGAGGTTGACACTGGCAAAAATCCCTTTTCTTCTCATTTTTTAAAATCTCTCAGCTCTTTTGTGAGTTAGGGAACAAACCTCTCTGTACAACATAGGAAAAATTTTGATGCCAGACTGCAGTGAATGTTGGCCATTAAGGTATAGTTTTTTCAATTAAATCTTTGCAGGTACCTATAATAAAACTCACGGACCAGGAGACTGAAGTTAAAGTCGACATCAGCTTTAACATGGAGACTGGGGTCCGGGCTGCGGAGCTCATCAAGAATTACATGAAGGTGCTGCCGTTGGCGAGCTAGGACTGTCAAAACGGGGGGCAGGTTATGTTGGGCATCTTGCGGAACTTTAACCTGAATGATAGTCTTTAACGATAAAGACTGTACAGTTAAATTATTTATCCTACAATATTATTTCTAGAGATACTTGGAAATTAATATAACTTTTGTAGATTTACTTTCCTATTGAGTGTTATTTTAGAGAGCTTGGTGAAAATGTTCTTTCTCACGATTACAAAATGACCGTCCCTGGAGCTTAGCGCGCCTGATTTGCGAGTTTAGTTTATTGGAAGTAGAATACATCATGATATAGTTTGCTTACTTTGGATCGTCTCAGTGCCTAACGATGGGCTAGCAGACTTGTTCATTGAGCTGACCAGGTGTGTGGTCTAGTTAAACAGATGGTCTTTCCCTCCTATCTTAGGGAGAGGGGTGAAATCCTTTATAGAGGCAACCCCAGCATCGTAATCTGGATACTGCCTCTTCCCACAGGTTCAGGGACCTTGTTCCTTCGGTTTTTCCCTTAACTCTGCAGCAGCAGGCTTGTCTGCCTTAACTGCTTCCCTTAACTTCTGTGCCCAGGAGAACATGAAAACAGAAACTTCCACTGTCCCCACACCCTCTTCTCCAGCCTCTCTCCATTTCCTTGTTACCTTCACTCTGCTCTCCCTATTCTTCCGCTCTTGTTTTCCAGCCTCATGATCTGCCCTCATCCCGACTCCTCTCTTGGGGGCGTCTGGGCGTTGGAGTTTTGCACATCAGTTCCAGGACCTTCCTGGCTGTATCCCCTCCTCCCCTTCCTGCCCCCGACCTGCACCTGTCATGGAGCAAGCTAGGCCATGGGGAATAATTGGAAGGAACACACTCACCCATACTCCCTGAGCTCTTCTTTGTTGGAGGAGCTGCTCTGCTCCAAACTCATACCTGCAGAACCGTGACCTGGGATGTGGCTCCCAGTGGGGATCTTAGCAAGCCCCTCACATAATTAATTCTCAGGCCCCTAAAAATTGAGGATGGTTGGCCTAGAGCCTTCCAAGTGACAAGAGGATTGAGTAAGCTTTTCTTTCTACTATGTGAAATTTGCTGTGTGACAAATCTTTAAAGGTATATTAACTAATTTTTTTTTTTTTTAATTTACAGAAATATTCATTGCTGCCTTACTTGATTTTAGTATTGAAACAGTTCCTCCTGCAGAGGGACCTGAATGAAGTTTTTACAGGTGGAATTAGCTCCTACAGCCTAATTTTAATGGCCATTAGCTTTCTACAGGTGAGTGTGTGTTCCCTCTAGAGACTTTCGTAGGCGCACATTCTCCCTTGATGTTGTGAAGCTATTGCTTGGTGGATTCCAGCCGCCTTGCTCTCCCTGCACTCTTCTGCTTTGGTTTAGTAGAAATTGACTTCTGATTGTCATACTAAAACCAGTTTGATTAATACTTCTTTCCTTTCTCTCCTTTATAGCTTATTTTTGTAGTTGATTGAATGGTTCGAGGGAGGGCAATCTATTCTGGTCCCATCCATCAGGTGTATGTCAGTCTGAACTTGACCCCGTCCATGTAGTCTTTCATGCCTTGATGGACAATAAAAAGCTGATTTTCTTGGTTATTGACTGTGATTTATGAAAAATTTGTCTCAGAAAAAAAATTGGGAACCATATATGGTAAAAAAAAAAATTGAAGAGAGCCTTTCTTCTTAGATTGACAAGACGTAAATATTTTGTTTTAAATTTTATGTGGCTCTTATTTTGTTGAGTACCGTGGAACAATCTGTCAATAGAAAACCTACCTATACATGTTAAATGCTATGATACTGATACTTGTTTAACATATAAAATAGTTCTATTTAACATATAAACTTAATTATTTAACATATAAAATAGTTTCTGAGTTAATGGAAACATTAATATTTTCTTGAATGAAGGATACTCTGTTCTTCACAAAATCTTTCCTGTATACTCTGGCTGTTCCTCCATGTTTATCATTAATTTTGTATTTGTGATTGGGCTTATTAGGCTTTTATATGCAAAATTTGGCCATTTTTCTCCTTAATACGGCTGATGGAAGCAGTGGTTACACCACCTTTCATTATTTTGACTTCTGTGGCACATCTTTGCCAGAGATACTTGAAGAACAGTGAAAACGGAATCCCACCTTTGTTTTCTTATGGTTTAATCACGTTGCTTTGCTGTCCACGTTTTCCTCTGTGGTGCTGCCCTTGGAGTCATTTTCTCTAGTTTTTGGACATTATTTTGAACTAAATACAACCTCCCGCTCTTGACTTAACTGCCTCATGTTTTTCCTGATTTGAACTATTTCAGTAGCCTTGTTACCATGCCTGCTATTTGCTTTTATGGCGCCGGACACTGGGCTCGGCACCTCCTGCCCCCTTCCCCCATAGGGTCCTGGCAGCAGTCCGGTGACCCCACGGAAGGTCGCAACAGAGTGGCTGGCTGGCCACGCCCCTTGGCGCCCTCTGTCCTGCCTCAAAGCTGAGCCTGTCCTGCCCGCCTGAGGTCCGAGGGCCCAGCCTCGCACCGGCTAGCTCTCCAGTGTTTGACTTTGTGGAAGGCAGAGGTGAGACCGCTGCTCTCGTGCCTCGAGCACAGGCAGGTCCTCAGAAGCCAAGTGCTTGTGAGCCCTCGAAAGCCTCCTGAGTGTCAGGAGATGCCTCTCCTCGGGGAGTCATGTGTTCTCGGTTTTCAGCCCTCTTGCTTCTGTCAGGAACTGTGCTTTCCCCTGGACGTGACCGTCAGGATGCAGAACGGCGCCGTCCCTTAGAGCTTCTCCTCGGCTGGCCTGCCCGCAGGCTGCGCGGGCCAGCAGGGGGGCCCCAAGCCACACATGCCGACTGAGCACTTGCCTGATGCCAGCAGACTACGTTCTTGATTAATTTGTTTCATTAATTTAAGTAGAAATAGCCACCTGTGGCTGGTGGCTGTCCTCACGGGCCGCGCAGGTCTGCACCGAGCCTCTTCGATTGGGAGGGTGTCGGCAGACAGCGGCTGAGGGAGGTTCAGTACGGGCCCATGCCCTGCTTGAAGGAAACGCGGTGCTGAACCGAGGCTGGTGCTAATCGGTGTGGCAAGCAGGGATGTAAATTTGGTGTAAATATTATGACACAACACTAATCACCTGTACACAGTTAAAATTCATCTTTCCGGTCCGTTCTGTCACACTGTTCGGTCTGATACTGCCCTCTATGGGTTGTCTTTTGGAATAATGGGACTAAGGTTAGAATCTGTGACGTGACATTCACCACCTAGATGACTCTAAATTGTGGAGAATATGGTCTACTTATTGGTCAGTTTTTGGTAACTTGAGGTTAATCAGAGGTCTGTGTTAGTAGGAAGACCCTCTATGGATTATGAATTCCAGAGAATTAAAGTATAATAAAAAATTCAGATTAGAAGGTTTTCTTTCTTTTGAACGCTCTGTACTGACAAAGGCTATCCAGGCTCTGTTGGTGCCTCCCCCTGCCACCTGGAGCATCCTCCTGGAGTTGGTGTGTGAGCAGGTGTGACTGATAGTGTGTCCTTGGAGAGACCACGAGGTAGCGGACTTCGTTGCATGCGGTCTTCTGTAGAAAATGACTTGAATCCAAATGGTGGATCTGTTGCTTTTACAGTTGCATCCGCGAATTGATGCCCGGAGAGCTGATGAAAACCTTGGAATGCTTCTTGTAGAATTTTTTGAACTCTACGGAAGAAATTTTAATTACTTGAAAACCGGTATTAGAATAAAAGAAGGAGGTGCCTATATCGCCAAAGAAGAGATCATGAAAGCCATGACCAGTGGGTACAGACCATCAATGCTGTGCATTGAGGACCCTCTGCTCCCTGGTAAGTGCCTTGCTCCTCACTGGCCACGAGCCTGGGGGCATGACTGGCGCCCGGAGTAAGGGGTGGGGGGAGTCTGCAGTCCCTGCAGCCAAGGGTGGCCCCTCTGTCCTGACACGTAATGGGGACACCTTCAGAAGTCTGTCTTTAATGCCTTCTAATTCACTTCTTATGAAGTTGGAATGTCTTTACATTCTGTAATTTACCAGATAAATGTAGAAAGTGAAAATTAAGGAAAAAAAGTTTATTTTTTCTGATTAGGAAAGTATTTGTTACATATTCATCATAAACCATTCACCTGCAAGAAGTATGTCACATAGAAAAGCAAAGTATGCCACAACCCCCTTCCATTCTGGTGTGTATTTCTCCATTTTTTTTTCCTACACAGATATTAATATTTATTGCAAGCTTATTAATTAAGCGGATCACGTAATTCAAACAGTTCTGTGACTTGTGTTTTTAATTAAATCCTAGAACCCTTCCCTGTGTGTGTAGGGTGTGTTCCATTGTGAGGATTGCTGCATTGACCATCCGAGGTGGTGTACAGTTCCCCCGGTTTTATTCCCTTGAGCATAGTGAAGGGTGCTCGTTCCCCCTTCTGTTAGGGACGGTCTTTCTCATCTTTGCCGATCTGATAGAACATGCAACGTACATGTGCGTTGAGTTCGCATTTCTTTAATGATGAGTGAGGTGAAGCAAATTTTTATTTATCGATTCCACAAATGTTTACTGAGCACCTGCTAGGTGAGACACTGTTGTTACTGTTGGTGATAAAGTCAGTGACGGACAGGTAACAGAAAAGGTGGTGGAGGATGTCTGCTCCAGGTGCACTGCCCCGTCTTCCCGTTGTGTGCACTCACGTGCTTTGTGCATCTGTCTGCCGGGCTGTGTTCCTCGTGACTTCGTGAGATCCTGCCTCTTCTTCGTCATCATGCTGTACTTTTTTTCTCCCCAGTTTGTCCCTTTGCATCTGTATTTGGTGTTTTTTGTTACTCAGTTCCTATATATATTTTTTAATGTCCTCAGATTTAATGATTTTTTGTTGGTTTTGTTTAATGGCTGCTGGAGTGTGAAATTCACTTCTTAAAAACCCTGTGACGGGAAGCCTGCTGACTGTTCTGTTGTTTACATACGACAGGACTGATGCCATGCTTTCTCAGGACGGCTTTACCCTGCAGCAGAGGAACATGTTTTCACATCTGTTTGTGTTCGATCAGTTAAATTGCAGGGATTTCCAGTGTCTTTGATGTCTGTTTAAATGTACTTGAAATGAAAGCTTGCATTATCACTGGATATATTATCAAACTTGAAAAAGAAAATTCCAATACTTAGAATGGCTCCTAAAACATACTGCTTACTTGCATTGTGAAGAATGAGTACATGTGAATTAAAACTCCAAACTGCTGTTACTAAAAGTTAAGTTCCTTGACTGAGGCTCACTTGGTGACTTCAGTGATGGTTTCATCTGATCTGCCACCTGCCCAGTCCTTAAAACTGGAGAGGGGAGACCGGACACGTTCTACCCTGAAGGACTTGCTTCCTGCGGGCCCCACGGGTGCTGACTGAACTGCAGCGTGCCTGGTCCGGGTGCTGCTTGGTCAGCACAGCCGCGGTCTGAGGCCGCTGCCTCGGCTCTTTGGGGTGGGTGCCGCCTGGGGAGTCGCTGGACTTCTTCGTGAACTGTCACCACGGTCACATGCGTCGGGATAAAGGGTCCTACAGCCACCTTTCTGTTTCAGGAAACGATGTTGGCCGCAGTTCGTACGGGGCCATGCAGGTGAAGCAGGTGTTTGACTACGCCTACATTGTTCTCAGCCACGCTGTGTCGCCCCTCGCGAGGTCCTACCCCAACAGAGACTCTGAAAGGTAACGCAAGTCACGCGTCACTGTCCTGGGCTCACAGCCCCGGTGGCCTGGCAGCTCCCTGCGGCAGGCACCGCTGGCCTCTGTCCTTGGCTTCCGTGAGGTTTCTTAATGGGTACACAGGCACATTCTAGTAGAACCTGAAATAATCGATGAGGACCACGTTTGGTTCATCCGTGGCTGAGCAGTGTGAAAATTTCTTATTTGGAGATTTGACAGTTTCTTCAGGGTATTTTATTTTGGGCAAGTGATTTCTGGCCTTTTCACACTTTGGAATGTGATGCGTTCTCTTCAGGCTGTCCTCAAGATGCACAGCTGAGCTTGAAGGGAGTGTGCATGTGGGTCCACGGGCCTCCCCCCCCGCCTCTCTTTTGAAAACTCACCCCTCATTCTGCATTTCAGCACATTTTTGCAGTGTACACTTTTACTGGTAGAGAGAAATACTTACTGCGTGGTTGGGAGGTGGTGGGATTGGGGGGTGGAGGGAGGGAGTGAGGGGGCAGTGGAAGGGAAGAACAGTGCAGCACAGGGATTCTGATGCCTGGCGCGCATGCTGATCGGCTCTCCGTGGGTTCTGTGCCTCTGCCCGCTCACGGTGCTTTCTGGCAGGGCTTTGGGCCTGTGCTGGGTGCTTAGAGTCTGGGCACCGTCTGCTTGTGCCAGACCTTCATGAGTGCTGGGCCAGGGCGGGGGGCGCTCCCCTGCTTAGGCACTGGGTTGAAACAGTCTTGTAGTAGCTATCTGTAGGTTCAAGGGTGTCTACATAAGTGAACTCACTTTTTCTATACTGTGATCTCAGAGCACATTTGCGCTTAAGCATCGGAAATCATAACACAGTTCGTAAAATTATTTTAGCTTTCTTCCTCTTTCACTTGGCAAAGTGATATGTTGTTAAAAATATAAAATAGCTAGTCTGCAGGGTTTGTGGCCTCCGACGTCCCTCTGCAGCACGCTCATTCCCCGTGGTGTCCCTTTGCAGTACTCTAGGAAGAATCATCAAAGTGACTCAGGAAGTGATCGACTACCGGAGGTGGATCAAGGAGAAGTGGGGCGGCAAGGCCCCCCCGGCGCCCGAGCTTGGTGAGAGCTCGTCCGGTCGCGTTACTCTTGAACCTCTGACGCCTGGAAGCAGGAGTGTCTCTCTGTCCCTCGGTGCTAATTGTTCTTACTGAGGAAACACCTCATTTTCTGTAAGAGTTTACAGCGGTGAGATTTAGGCCAGCAGGAATACAATGCATGCCACACACAGACTTTTAAAGTTTCTTCTAGTAAGTGCATTAAAAATGTGAAAAGAAACAGGTGAAGTTCCATTTATTTATTTATTTATTTATTTAAAAGATTTTATTTATATGAGAGAGACAGAGCGAGAGGGGGAACACAAGCAGGGGGAGTGGGAGAGGGAGAAGCAGACTCCCCGCGGAGCAGGGAGCCCGATGCGGGGCTCGATCCCAGGACCCTGGGATCATGACCTGAGCCGAAGGCAGACGCTTAACGACTGAGCCACCCAGGCGCCCCTGAAGGTCCATTTTATAATGTACTTTATTCAACGTAGTATCCAACATTTCATCATGTAATCAGTATGAAGAGTGTCGGAGAGATTCTGGCCCCGGGCCGGTGCTGTGCCCTTGAGGCCCAGTGGGTACCGGCAGCGCACCCTGCCCCAGCGCCCCAGAGACGCGCGCTCTGTGTTTAGATTCCGTAAGATTTACAGTAGAAACCTGTTTACACATCCAGGTCGTTGCAGACATGTTTTAAGGTTGTCCAATAACTGAAACCAGCATACTTTTAAAAATTAAGTAAATTAAGTAAAACGAGGAATGCGTTTGTGAGTCGTTAGCCGCATGTCAGGGCTGGGCGGCCCCCGTGGCCGGAGGCTGTGTGGTGGGGTGTGCGCGTCCGTCCTCTCACCAGGTGCCTCAGCCAGGCTGTGTTGCCCCCACAGACAACAGAATTAAGATAAAGGAGCGAATAAGTTCATGTGAGGGGGATCCGCCCCCGCGCCGAGACCCGGAGTCCCCCTACAGCCAGCGCCTGACCTTGTCTCTGCCCAGCCCCCAGCTGCTCTCGTCCGGCTCGTCCGCCTCCTCCGTGTCTTCGCTTTCCGGGAGTGACATTGTGAGTGTGCCTGCCGGGGAACGTCTGTGGCGGGCTGTTTAGCCTCCGCCAGCCGGGGTTCCTCTCCCTTCCGTGTGTGTCTGTGCCGCCGCCCCAAGACGGCCCCGAGGGGTCCCCGCTCCGCCACGAGCCTCTGCCGGCGGTCGGGGACCCCGGCCCTGCTGCTCACGGCCCAGCTGTAGCGGACCTCCTCGGAAAGCGTTTTAGACGCTCGGGTGGGGAGGAAACATTTAAGTGAGGTGTCTGTCCCGTGTGACCGGAACGTTCTTCGGTTCTGAGAGGACTTGAAGGGGGGGCGGGCGGCTTGGCAGATGGGGCCGTGCGCTCGCGCCCGCCTGTGGCTGGAGCGCCGCGGGTCCTGCTTCCGTCCCCGAGAAGCGGTGCGCCTCTCCACGGCCATCCCTGTTGTCTTTTCTACATAGGATTCTGACACGCCGCCCTGCACAACACCCAACGTTTACCAGTTCAGTCTGCAGGCACCAACTCCCCTGCTGGCCAGCCTACCCACCGCCTTGCCCGTGCCGAGCGGCAAAGCTCAGTCCGCTCCTTCCAGAACGTTGGTCATGACGACTAACACTCAGGTACGCGGCGGGCTGGCGCCCTTCCCACAGCCGGGCCCCTGGGAACCACGTCTGAGCTGCCGCAGGTGCTCTAGCTCTGGCTGGTACTTTGGAATTAGAAATAGGTCTTCGGAAATCTCTGGAAGGTACATTTCTATCTTGTAGGACACCCTCGTGCTTTGTGGATGGATAGAATGTAACTCCTGTCATTCTACGGAAGACCGTGTCCTCGGTCCCACCCTGTGTGGTGTGTGCAGCAAGGGGACTCCTGGCCCTCGAGCTCTGAGGGGCTTTAGACAACAAGGTCCAGGTGGAGCGTCGGTCTGAAAATGACTGACACCCAGCCTGAGACGGTGGTCCGGGGCCTGCGTCAGTTGGACTCTGGTGCTCGCCGGCCCCCGGGCACGGAGGGACCACCGTCCCTGCTTCCTCTCAGTCTCCCCATTTACACTCTTGAGAAGTTTTAGTATAAACTTTGACTTTCTCACGTTCTTTTTAGGCAGTATTTATAGAGCTTTTTCTGTTAGAATATGTCCTTTGTTGGTTGTTTTTTAGTTTAGATGAAATTAGAAACCTGAAAGATAATTTCGAAATATTCAGTTTGGTATCCATTTGACAGTCACGCACAACTGAACACGAATTTGTAAACACCCACCGCATTAATTCCCCTTTAAAGGAAGGTCCTCTCTGCAGTGCGGGCTGTGATTTGAGCACAGAGAGACGTGGGCACGAGCAGACACACGGACTCATCTGTCTGTCTGTCGTCTGGCTCTCTGCCCCGGGCCATGGGGAGGGCGGAGCGCAGCGCGCCCGTCATGCACGGGCGGCAGTGGCCGGCAGAACAGCCCCACCAGACACTTGTGGGTCCTGCGTGAGGGCACGATGCTGAGGCACGTGGCCGCGGTGTCCCCCAATCCGTCATTGGTCCTAACCTCACCCAGGGGCTCAGGTCCCCCGAGAGTCAGCGTGGCCGCCACACAGTGGTGGGCTGATGCTGTGTGCGTGGTTCTGGCAGGAAGTCCAGGAATGTTCTAGGGACAGGTCGCAGGCTGCTGCTGGTGCCCTGGTCTCATCTGTCACTTTGCTAACAGAAGTTGAGGCTGAAGCTAAGGTCGTTCACATTTTAAGCCAAGGCTCGAGGCCCACTCTCTCATTTTATTTCTAAACTGCAAACCTGACTTCTACTGGAGCAACTCAGTAACCCCCTGTACACATCACGGGCACTCTCTCCCAGGAAGCTCACGGGCTGACGAAGTGCCCCGCTCGGGATGAAGTGGGCCCTGAGAGCTGGGGACGTGAGTCTGGCAGACCCCGGTGACACGGGGCCCCGGGGGAGCAAAGCCCCCACTGAGGAGAGGGCCTGAGTGCACTCCAGCCCCCGGTGGGGACCTTTGGTAAAGCGTAAGGAAGGCTTTGCATGTGCTCTGGAGCACCATGTGGGAGACCCCAGCTCCTGTTCCATCCACTGCCTCGGGGTGGGGGACTGCAGTTAGTCTCCAGCGGGGCAGATGCATAGGATGCCTAGATGTGAGCAGTGCAGTTCTCGGAGGTCTGAGAGGGGTTCCCATCGGCACCCCTGTGATGCAGGAGTACAAGTACTAGAGGGACCAGAGGGGCAGGGGGAGCAGGGAGGGGGCCAGCCTTCCCCAGGACGCCTCTGCGGGCCGGCACCCCTCCACAGGCCATCGCTTGGACCAGCGTCGGGCCTCCCGTCCTGGGTCGAAGGACAGGTGTTACTCTGAGGACTGACTTGAGTTGTTGCTCGGTCTTCAATGAGTAACGAGGTTTCATGACTTGGGTTACTGGGCATACTTTCTATTGTAGTTGCTGTTCCAGAATGTAGAATATTTCTGATGCAGAACAAATCCTGTCAGGTTATAGTAAAACACAGGCTGTGTGAATGAGCCTATTTGCAAATGGCTGTTCCAAAGCAGCGCCCCCCCTTGTCGGGCTCAGCACTAGAACCGGGGACCTCTGTCAGCCTGGTGCCTCATGGAAGTCTCTGGTCGGTGTGTTCCTAGACCAGGTTTACGATACCTCCACCGACCCTGGGGGTGGCCCCCGTCCCGTGCAGACAAGTTGGCGTTGAAGGAGCTCCGGCGTTGAAAGCTGTTCACCACATGTCTTCCGCGGCCGTTCCGTCCGCATCTCCCAACCCGCTCTCGAGCCCTCACCTGTATCACAAGGTAGGCCTCCCGCCTGGCCTGGGCCCGGGGCCCAGAGCCCAGGGCTTTCTGCTCTGTCCGCCAGAGACAGGGTTCCACAGCGATGTGGCTTAAAACGGAACTTGCTTTCTCATCATTCAGCTTCATGTTTGCTTTTCTTTGTGGTGACTGAAACTTTAAGAGTGTTATTTTCCCGTATAATAGAGTTTAAGCATCTGTCTTCATTCTTCCATTGAACTTGTTAGCATAAAACGGAAGTTGGAAATAAGGTTCAGAGTGAAGCATATTTTGTTTCCCATTTATCTGTTGAATTAATTTATATGCCACATACTTTGGTTTTCAAGAAGCAGATGATACCATCAGGAACAGTGCCGGTGTGACCTGGGGCATGGGGGGTCTGCATGGGGTTTGCTTTCTCGGTTCCAGTGGGGTCCCTGTGAATGCGCTGGTTGGTGCCCCTGTGGCTTCTCTTAAGTCCAGATTCTGTACACGAGAAACTGTCCTGTGGTAGGAAAGCAGGTCGGTATTCATTCCCTGTGCCCTTGAAGGGCCGGAATGTTTCTGAGGGCTGTGACGGACATCTGCCTGTGAGGTCAGGGTGCAGTGTCCGAAGGCGGGTGTTTCCCCTTGGGCTCCGGCGATATTGGGGACCCTCCCCTCGATGACTCCAGTCAGCTCCTCTGTTGCTTCTCTGATCATATTTTGCCAGTAAATTTTCAGTGCTTCAGGGTTGGCTCTCCGAAGCCGCGTAATTAAGGCCAGATTGTTACATTTATCTGGAGCTCCGCCATAGAGCGTTCCTCCTTGGAGTCGCCCCGCCGGGCACGATGGGGTCTTCCGTGCACCCGCGGCGTCTCACGCTGGCCTGCCGGAAATACTCACGGGGGAGTGAGGACTTCTCGAACGGGAGAGCACTTTCGTTAATCGCACTTTGGCTTTCCCTCTCAGTCCCCCTGCGCTGCTTGTTTGCACCCTTCCTGAAAGCGGCTGTGTTTTCTGCGGGCCTGCCTCGCGTGGGGCTGTGCGCACAGGAGCCCCGGCGCGTACAGCAGTGTCCCCGGCCCCCGGGAGGGAGCTCGAGCGCCAGCCTGCTGGGCCATGGAGCTCCTGCGTGTGTTGGCAGAATGTCACAGCTGCGGTGCGGGAAAGACCACCAGGGCCCCTCTTTGTTCTGTGGACGCGCAGACCAGTTAGAAGCGTGGCGCTCATGTCTCCGGACGTGTGTGCGCGTGCGCGCTCTGATCCCGGGCGGGGTCCTGTCTGTCTCCCGGGTGCAGTGGTCACCGTGACACGGAAGCATGGCTCATGGCCACGTGGACGCTGCATGTGGCAGTGTGCGCTTCCACTGTCCTCGGGCCCGGTCTCCGGGGGGCGCGTGCTGCCCCCGACCGGCCCCACGGCAGCGGTGTCTGGGTCCCCGGGGCAGCCTCCCACGTTGCACCCCTCTGTCTCTCCAGCAGCACAGCGGCGTGAAGCTGTCCCTGAAAGGCTCGCACAGCCACGGCCAGCCTGGCACGTACAGCTCTGTGGGCAGTGGAGGCGTGCGGCCCCCCGTGGGCAACCGGGGGCACCACCAGTACAACCGCGCCGGCTGGAGGAGGAAAAAGCACACGCACACGCGGGACAGCCTGCCCGTCAGCCTGAGCAGATAATGGCCCCGATGGCGCCGCCGGCCTCCCTGCTCCTGCACAGACTCGGCCGGGCGGCCTCGGCGCCCAGCCCGGAGCGGAGACCAGCACCCAGCACGTCGGCCCGGGCCCCGCGGACCGCCCGCCGCTGATCACTCTGCATGTTCCTTGTGTGGTGGTCGCGCCCATCTTCAAGAACAGCTCCTTGTGCTCATCTGTGAAGCCTTAGGAAGCGTGGACGCTGTGTCTGCCTTCCTGGGCTTCTTCCCTCCAGTGCCGGACGGAGCAGGTCTGGACCGGGGACTGCGGGCGGGTTCGGACCGGGCGCCGGCCGCGGCGCTTCTCGGCAGCAGGTCTGGGTCCTTTGCGGTCGGGGTGTGTTCGTGGCTCGCCCGCCAGAGCAGCAGAGACCAGCCCCCGTTCTCGTTCCTTCCCCAGCGGGGGGGCTTGGGAGGTCGCCATTGTGTCACTGCCCTCACCTTTTGTTTCGGATTTCAGAACTGTTTTTCTATGTAAATACTGAAAACTTATGATTTGTGCAATAACTCAGATATTTTTATTTAATTCATATTTTCACATAAGTTATATTTAAGGGAGGAGGTTTTTTAAACAAGCGTAGGTCCTTTCCCGAGTCGCATTTTCTAAGTTGGGTTCATCGTGCCGGCTGGTTGTCTGAGGAGCACCGCTACCAACACCGGGAGTGAGGGGCTCGGGGTTTCCTTTTGTGTTTTCCTTTGGGTCAGACACGAGGCCTCTCCGTCCGTGGCGGGGGAGCCAAGTTCCCTGCAGGGGCTCGGCTCCCGAGCCTTCTGACCAGCTGCCCGCCGGCCCTGCCGTCCGGCCTGTCTGTTGTCTCGCTCTGACCGCAGAGCTTTAAGGTTTTGGTTTTCGGTTCTTTTAAAGTAGACAACAAATCCAGCATTTAAAGTGCCAGAAGTAAAACTTTCTAAGGGGAGAAAGGGTTGTCACGTTATAAAATCTTAAAAAAAAAAAAAAAAAAGGTGAACTCTCAAGTGCTTCAGTCCGTTTTAGTCACACAGCCTGTCAGGAGGGGTCCGGTGAATATCAGCACGGACAAGGGCACCCAGTTTTAGGAATGTGGAGAAAGGAATTATGTTGATTCCGTGGAGGAATCTGTATAGCGGTATGCATTCGTTCTGTTAAGAGCAAATCTACAAGAAGTCCTTGAGCTGCTCAGTGCACCGTGGGGAGTTTCGTGGCGCATCGCGGGAGAGCCCGGCGCGGGGTGGGGCCGGAGCAGCGGGTGCCCCCCTCGAGAAGCATCCAGGTACACTATGCAAGTGCTGTCCGCCATGGCCACCTCTGTCCTACACCCATCCTGCCCGTCCCTGAGTTTCCGGAGTGCCACAGTTGTCCTGGTGTTAGTTGCATCTCATAGGTCATCTGACCTCCCGTTTTTAAAATGGGGGGTTCTGGCCCTGCTGAACACTACAGGTAGGTTGGTCTTTGAAGTCCACTAGTGGAGAAGGTCCAGTCGAGAGACTTATCTACCATGACACCTGATGGAAGTGCAGAGCGGGGAGCCTGGAGTGCGGCCTGGGGGCGGCGTCCCGGCCCCCGGGACCTGCCCCCCCCCGCCCCCCAGCACCGTCGCGGCTGCCGGCCACGGCTTCTCCGGGGGGCCTTCCAGAAGAGAGTAGCACATGTTGTCTGCAGTTCTTGATGATCGAAAGTTATCAAAAATATTTAAAGATATTTAAATTGTGAATCTATTGATAAAGAAATATTTATAAAAACTGATAAGTAGGCCTGTACTAATCTCCACACATTAGCAATATTGACTGTCACCCTACATCTAGGAACCACTGCGGGGCATGGGTCCCGCGGGGATGCATTTTAAAGCTCGATTCACAGACACAGGCGCCATGCTCCATCCCCGTCATGGTGAACGAATGAATTGGCCTGGCTACCACGGTGGTCACGCGCTACAGGTTGAACAAAACGATATCATGTTTCGATTTTTTTGTGTGTGTGGACAACAATGTGGAAGCTAAAATTGACATATTTTTATGTAAAGTTTTTCTATTCTTTGATTTTTAATAAACTTTGGAAACCAGCTGGTGTTTGTGTTGGAGTGTGTGCTTTCCTTTCCGGAGAAGGGCGGCTTCTGCCATTTCGTGTTCTTGAACTTTCTAAGGAGAGCAGTGAGGAATCGGGTTCTCATTGGTTCGGGAACTTCAGAATGCAGGCGAGGTTCCGGTGCTGTGAACAGAAGACCTGCAGCTGAAGCAGTGCTTGCCCGCGTCCTGGGCCCGGGGGGGGTCCTCACCCGCTGACTAGCCCCGCGCCGCATCCCACAAGCCAGGTGTGTGACCCTTGGCACCAATGACGCTTTCCGGGGAAACTGTTCCTTCTGCATCTCAGTCGAAGTGGATCACTTTTTTTTTTTTTTAATTGGGGAGCACAAACGGTGAGGGGCAGAGGGAGAGGCCAGCTCCCTGCTAAGCAGGGAGCCTGTCACCGGGCTCCATCCCAGGATCCTGACCCTAAGAACACATCCTAAACAGCCACGCAATCAAAATGTAACTTAAAATGTAACCTGTCGGAATTTATAAGGAGGTATCAAAAAGCCCCGTAGTGCCGCGAGTGACCGACAGAACGGCGTGTCTTGGCCTGCGGGGGGGTGCGCTAGAACGCCCCCCCCCCCCCAGAGCCCGGCACAGCCCTCATTCATCCGCTCCTTCCACAAGGGTTTCCGGAGGGCTGCAAGCAGGTGCTGTCCCGAGGACACAACAAGGCCCTCTGCCCACAGCGCCTACGATCCCACAAGGCTGCAGAGGACCCCAGAAAGCAACCTCTGTGCCCGGTGTCACTGCTGTGAGCAGTGGCTTGAGGCGGAGTGACAGGTGTGTCTGTGGCCAGGACCACTGCAAAGGCCGTGGGCTGGCACGCTGGTGGCCTGGCGGCCGGGAGCAGGTGCAGAAGCAGAGCCTGGAGGGAGGGGAGCCGTGACAGGAAGCCGCAGGGTTTCTACGTCCCTATGGCCACTCATTGGAGAACGGGCCGGAGTCGGGTGCTGAGGTGGCCCAGGCGAGCGATGACCGCCGCGGGAGGGCCCCGGGCAGGTGGGCTGGGGCCGGCCAGGCCACACTGATGGGGGGGGGGGGGCGCGGGGAGGGCAGTGGCCCTGGCCTCCCTGTGGGTTGCTGCCCACAGCTCTCAGGATGGCACGGTCCGCAGGAGCCCCAGGGAGGGGGAGACCCCCCCACCCCCTGCTGGCTCAGGGCAGGTGAGAGGAGGCTGTGTTCCCTGGGCCTCCCTGGGCCTCCCTGGGCTGTGGGGAGGTGCCCACGGCTGCTCACGGCTCACACCGTCCGTGCTACTCAGCTGTGGGTTGATAACCTGCAGGTCACCACAGTGATCCCCAGAAGGGGATCCCTGAAGTCCTAGGATCCCGAATTCGCTCCCATGTGGCCGGGTCTCTGTGACTTCCTCTTCAAGTTGTGCAGGGTCGTGCCCCATCTTTATCTGTGTCGAGGTACCTGGGGTTCCCATGCACGGCGTGTGGGGCCTGGGCTCCCAGCAGCAGGTGCACGCGGGAGGCGGGGTCATCCGCGGTGCAGACATGCCCGCTCACCTGCACACATTTTTGTGTCAGTCACCCTGTGATGATCTAACTGAGGTTATGACACGGGTGTGTAGTTTATCCTCAGCTTTTCTAACTTGTGAAGTCCCTGCCAGTCCTTAGGTAACTTAGATGACCAGGGGAAGCTGATAGAGGAAGGGAAGTGGCCACCGAGAAACACAGCGGCCCCGAACATCCCACACTCGGGGCTAATTCTTACTAAGAATGGCTGGAAAACAGGTCTCGCTGTGGTGTTTCCACGGCTCCCCGGGGGTGGGGCAGTTCCTGGGTGATCTGTCACGGGGGCCCTTGGACAGAGCTGGTGGTGCCGACGCCCCGTAGTCTCCCGGCATAACTGAGTCCTGGCGCAGGGCAGGCCCATGACTTCGAGGCCCTGGCGTGAAGTGAATTCCAGGCAAGGTCAGTAAACCCGCCTTGGATTCTCCAGACGCTGCGTTCTGTCCATGACCTCTGACCCTGGACGTTCAAAGCACTGGCAGTGTTAAGTGTCATACAGAGGTGCTGTGGGTCACTTACGGGTTTGGGAGCAAGTGTGTGACTTGAGGCAGATGTGAGGCCTTCCTGCTGGTGTTTCCTGAAGTCCTGAGTGTCTTCGTGGTGGTGATGGCTGTGGACAGCCGTGGCCTAAGCCAAGCCCACGCAGCAGGCGAGTCCCCTGCCCCAACGGAAGCATGAGGGGACTGTAAAGGCGGCAGGGCTCTGGAGCGCCGCAGGGCCGCTCTGCCCTGGGGTGAGCGTGGCTCGGGGCCCAGTGTGCGGCACCCCGCCCCCACCTGGGACCAGAGTGGTGGCGCATCCTAACTGCGGGGCCACCCTGGTTCTCCAGTGGCCTGGGAGCCGCTGCTCAGTTTGGGCGGGAAACCTCCACCTTCTATTGCTGTTGAGTCCCGCGAGCTTCCCAGCTGTGGCCTGGTCCGTGGCTCCCTGGAACTCGGAAATTCTCCCGCGGCCACCACGGGGAGCGGAGAGCCGCCTGGCTTGGCGGTTTAAGGGGTGAGGATAAAACCTCCTGGCTCACGAACTGTGGAGCTTTGCTGCTGGCCTTGGCTTTCACGGTCAGTGTTCATGGTTACGATACTGCTCCTCGGAAAGGCGGGTTCTGGAAAAGCATGCTGGGACTGCTGTGTGTGACACTCTCTAGTCCCAACCAGGAGTTGGTTTAGCTCCCTCTGGACTTGGCCTGCTTCGGCCCCCGGGCTTCGTGCAAGAGAGAGTCCTCGTGGTCAGACCCCTCAGCCTGCTGTTTCAGTTGCATTCTCCTGGCCAGACCCCACCCCTGCATCCACGGCCCTGCATGCAGGGTGACGGTGTGAGCGCTCAGTGGGCCCGCCCAGATTCCACAGGGCCTGAGCTGATGACCTCAGGGCCTGGGCCGACCATGAGCACTGTGCACACCACCCCCACCACCCCCAGGGCGCAGGGACCCTTCCCAGCCCCAGAGGAATAAACTGAGGCACAGAGAGGGTAAGCATCCTCTGCGGCTGTTGGAGAGAGACTCAGATGGGCAGGGTCCACAGTGCTTGGCCTTTTGAGAAGCACCGTGTGTGGTCAAAGTATGATGAACGGTGCTGAAGTCTGCCTTGAATCTGTAGAACAAAGAGAACAAAATTCATGTCCTGAATTTTCAGCTCATTGCCAAGTTTTTGAAGGCCCCAGGGATAGGTCTGGTGCAGGGAAGGGGGTCCTGCCTGAGTTTGGGCTCCACCTCTGTGTGTCCCATGTCCTTTGGTGCACAGAGTGAATGCTGGCCATCCTTAGGGTAACCCCATCGTCCTTGATTTTCTGTCCTCCCTTCTGGGGACCGGCCCCCTCACCCGTGTCCCTCAGAACAGTCCAGAAGGATTGTTTTTCTCTCTTCTAGTGTTGGGTCCTGGAATCACCATTGGTCAGTAATTAGTCATGTCTTCCTTTTGACATCCACCACATCATGGTCAGAAAGTAAGTTTATCGTCTTTCCCGCGTCGATGGTGAGCCTCCTGGAGTGTGAGCCCGCGCGCGACCACTCTGCGTGTGCGAGCACCCCGTGCAGGGTCAGCGCCGGGCCGCACAGCCCGAACTTGCCTGACACGCTCACGGCATACGGGTACGTGATCGTGCTTCCCTTGCTCCTGTCACTGCGAGCCAAAAAAGTCTGGGACAAATAAACAGCAAAACTTCAGTGAGTGAAAGCCTTTTTTCATGTTAAGAAGAGAAGCAGCAACTAGGTTTAAGACTCCAGGTGTCTTCTTTTTTCTGTAGGAAAATTGGAATCTGGATATGTACGAGAATTTTTTAAATGTCACAGCTCCTTGTGGGCTGTGACTGGAGGGTTTGTGTGGCGCTGTGATAGGGAGCCCGGGGAAGGAGGAAGCCTCAGGGAGGCCAGTCCTCGCCCACATTTCCTTTTGTTGTCTGGCTCCTGGGTGGAGTGTGTCTGCGGAGGAATCCGTCTCCCACCTCCCTTCCTGCTGCTGACCGCTCGGCGCGGGGGTGTCCGTGGGCATCGAGGTCCACCCCGCCCCCTCGGAGTGGGGTCCGAAGGAGGGCTCCCTCCCCACGGAGCCCTGGGCCCTTCCAGAAGTTCTGGCTGCTGGGAGCGGCTCACCGCTGGGAAGAGAGGGGGCGCTCCTGCCTCACTAGCTGGTTTCCTCAGCCCTGTGCGCCTCCACGCGGGTCCCTTGTCCCCAGCAGCCCCTCGCAGAGCTCGCACACCTGCATGTCACCCCCGGGCTGGAGAGGGTCCCCTGAGGGTGGCTGGTCTCCCAGGTAGGCTGTGAATTAAGTTAGTATTTGAACTGGAAACCTTGGGCTCTGGTTAAAAGGAAGGACAGAGAAATAAGGCTGCCAATTTTTTTTCTACCCGGAAAAGGAACGATCCGTAGCATCTGAACAGTGGCATCATGGCTGAAGCTGGAGACCTTGGATGGGCGAGGGGCGGGGGCTGGGGCCACGTTTGCCACCTGGGGGGGGGTGCTGTGGGTTCTGGGGGCGCCACTGCAAAGGGCTGAAATGGGACTCCGACTCTCTGTGCAGAAGCTGGGTGTGTTCGGGCCCCAGCGGGGGATGAGGGGCCCCTCTGGTCATCCTGGTCTGCAGCATGCTGGGAGGGGGCCTCAGCACCTGACCCCCAAGCTGCCACTTTCCTGAGGGACACTGGCCACCAGAGCAGGAGCTGCTTGCAGGGCTGAGGATGCGCCTGTCCCATCTCCCTCCCTCAGGGGCCCTGTGAGCCCACAAGGCCAGCGAGTGGCCGAGCGACCGCTGTCTCCGCCCCTCCGCCAGGACCGGGGCACTGGGCGAGCGAGCCCACCTGCGAACTTCTCCACAAAAGCGCTTTGCAAAGTCCAGCTGCCCTGCACAGCCTCTCCTGCCCGGGCTCCTTGGTCACAACCGCCCCCCCCGCCGCCGGCTCTCTGTCCGGCTGATCTGGCACGGAGCCACCGGGCAGGCCTCGTGGCAGAGGCTCAGGGTCGCTGCAGAAGAGCAGCGGG